AATATGAAATAATTTAATTAATTTCCAGGCAAATATTTAAGGTAGAGTGGATGCTAAACTATTTTGTTTGCTCAATTAACTCTATGCCCAAAATGTTTGAGATAGTTTAGCTTAGTTTGAGATAGTTTTAATGGACGAGCCTCGCCTCTCATATGATTTTCCCGGAAAATCTTTTGAAGTAAACACCTTCCGAGGCCACAAGTACATGGTCATTTTCGTATCAGAATCGGATTAATTACGTCCTATAACTAAAGTTGGCCGACCATCTTATGCAGCAATAGCCCATGAAATTCACGGTTAGATCATGCCGTAAATCCATCAAGGCGTACTTTGCCTGGGAAACGACAGCCGCTGTCGGTTGCACTCAATGTCAGGGCCAGCATAAAACTGAATCGCCCGCCGCCTGGTTTGATGGCCCAAGTCGATCCAAAGGCTTTAGCCATAACTTTATGGATCACTCAAGCGGCCGAGGCGTTCAATTAAATGGAGACGAAGATGGTCCATAAAATGATGAATGAAAATGACATCAGCGGGAAAAACAGGGAAAAACGAAAAGAAAAGAGGGCAGAGATATGACGAGCTACTTCCCAGTGGCCGCTGCTTTTTGGGTTAATCAAATTTAGTCGCAGCGAGTGCGAGTGCGAGTGGAAGTGGGGGTTGGAGGGGACGACAAATAACGGTGGCCCATTAAGCACCTGTGTACTCATATGCGGTACACACACCTTTCAGATACGTTTCGTGAGTGTACCAGATAGCAGATACCGGATACCACGGCACAGAGGGCAAAGAAGGCACGGCAGCCGATTTGGGCACGCATTTTACGTTAATTACATGTCGCTACAATGTCGGGCTTTGTAATTATTTTGACAGCCAAACCGTCGCTGGCGCTTTTGTTATTCCAGCTGTATCTTTTGCATTCGGAAATCCGAGAGTTACAGTTACATTCGTCAGCTTTCGTCCGAGTTGCTGTTGGTTGTTGGTTTTTTCTTCTGTCTTTATAATGACGAGAATTTCTAAAACAGCCCCAACCCCGGCTTCAATCCTGGCAGCCAGTCAGTCATTCAGCCTGTCAGCAGCATTTTGTTTAATGAGCTTTTTACGAGCCGTGCAATGAGTAGGATTCCCCAGCACAGGCATTGGGAGATACAGCCGGAGTCGCTGCGTTGGGTACTCACATCACACATGACATCAACAGTTAGGGCGGAACGTGGAGGACTCGAGCTGGCTACGAGGGTTGGCACAATCCATTTGGGCTTGGCTTTCACACAAAACTAGGCGGAGATATACCTACATTAAATTTCTAACCAAAGAATTAAATTTTTGTTGCTGAATTAAGTGCTTTCAACCAATTCAAAATCACTAACTTTGGTAGTTAACACATCCTTTGGATAAACCCTCGCTAGCCATCGTCTCGGATTACGCGATAATCAAACAATTGAATTGCTTTTTGAGGTTTGCTGAGAACTCAGTTGGCAGACAGTTAGTTTGTTGGCTTGTTGACTGCGGTCTGATGGGAGCTGGAAGCCATTCGAAGCGACAGCCAAACATCAAAGTCGTTGCCTTCCATCAAGTGCGAATGCAGCTTGGATGATGATGATGATGCCGTGTCTGTGGCTTTGGCGGCTTTGGAGGTTGCCCATGTTTGAGTGACTGCTTGGCTAACTCGGTGAGCATTGCACTCGCATATATACACATAGTTTCGCTCCAGTTTGAAGACGAACGCGTGCGCGTTACGCTGTAAGTCAAGCATATCGTCAGAGTTACAGTCACAGTCACACACAGCGTAATCGCCGCAGAGTCATATTCAGAGTCATGACTATAGCCGGCGCATAAATGCATAAAGAGCGCGGCGAGTTAGTTGTATACTTGCAACCCATTTGCATACGCGGATTGACAAAAAAAAGTACTTCAATGTCCATTGATTGCCGAGCGAACAATTGTATCTGCGAGATACAAGTACGCTTTGTATTCATGCACGCGACATTGGTACAGATGTGTGTATGAATGTATGACAGGATTCTAGCTTTATTTTTGCTGAGATATTATTGCACTCAGTGCAATCTATATGGAAGTTGATTTTCCTGCTGAATTGAAAACTAGGAGGTGGCAAAGGATTCGTCGTCAAAGAGTGGAATATTTACTTTTGTCTTACATTATGTGGTTCGTTTGCGGAGACCAATATCGGAAATGCAAAAATTTGGGAGAAAAAAATAAACAAAAATGCTACTCATAAATCTCTGTATTTTTTTTTCGATATAAGAGTATTTTTGTTTTGAAAAATCGAATTACACTTTATTTTTGATTCTTTATAAAACTTTGTTTGAGAAAATGTTTTTTGAGAATAAATAAATCTAAATAAATAAAGTATAAATGTTATTCCAATTAAGAACACTTTATGTTAATAGTTAATTAATTCCAAAGGGTTTAACTTAACTGTATTCATTGTAACAACATTTTTGTTTGCGGTGTAACTGAACTCAGTTGCATCGACCCTAAATTCTTTATCTGAATCCTGCTTTATCTTTCCCCCTTGCTGAATGTGAAAAATGAAAAATCAATTTCAGATGCTCTGTAAACTGCAGATGCAAAACCCAACCCTTTCAAAGGAATAATGAAAGTTTAGAAATATAAATCCATGCCGCACCCACAGGGTTCATAACCGCATTTGGGCACTTGAAAAAAAAAGTTTCTAATTAGAGCTTATGCACACCAATTTAACATAGAAAGTTGTTCACTAAATTTCAAAAATGGATTGGAAAAAGTTTTTGGAATGGTTTTATATTCCTAGCTTAGTAAAAAAGCCACTTTTCTTAATCCTAAACAATAGGTTAAAAATATGCAATAAATATTCAAAGTACTTGTAGTTACAAGTATAGCTTTGAATATTTTTCCACTCTGTATGTGTGCATATGCGTTGGCCAGCGGACAAGTCAAGGAGACCAGGAGCGTTGGAGGAGTTAATGGCGCAGGAGTCGACAGTTGCGGACCAGCGGCTGGTGCAATGTGTGGTCGTGCACATCACGTTCTCTAACCCTTAAAGCCACCCACCCTCAGGGCAACCCCTCACTCCTGAGCTGGCTTACATTTGCATAAAATGTGCAACGGCTCCTCGGGTTACTTTTTATATTTTTCTACTTCCCTGGTTTTTATTTATTTTTTATTATTATTTATTTATGCGCCTACCTCGTTCGGCCTCCTGCCCTTCTCCTCCTTCCGATTGCAGCTTAGTGTAATGGCATTTATTTCAAGCCAGAGTCAAGTGCTTCGCAAAAGTTGGTGGCAAATTAATGAGCTTTTACCGTCCTTACCCGGCATATGATTAAAACTTTTCTCTCAACCTTGCCATTCTGGATGCATGAAGCCGTTAGGAAAGTTCGCTTCCGACACATTTCCATTTCCACTACGGAGATTTTTTCTCCAGCGCTTACAAAGCGATTTCCATTCTCATCGAGGAGGGGCCCGCCCTCATCTCAGTTTTGACCCAGTTATGGCCCGGCTGGGATCACGATTCACGGTTTTATTTTTTCCATTTTAATTATGGCTGCATTGGCTCTCTGCTTTGTGGTCATCATTTTGCTTGGGACTTCAACCGGCCAAATAAATGGCCAGGGGGCTGGTTTATTCAAATTGCTATTGTTATGGATAAAATAAAATATTTGAGGAGAGCTTTTCTGTGGCTTTGTTCCCGCTGTCTTTTGCTTTGGCCGGCGGATGCGGAGATTTATGGAGATATGTAAATAGTGGGTAAGAATATACATATTTATATATCGCTCTTAAAGGATGTATTACAATTTTTAGGGTTGGGTAGGTAAATGAGTTGATTTTATTTGGATACACTTTACTGTTGTCTAACTCGGGGGAAGATATAATAGCTCGTGGAAGTATCTATTATCAGTCGCTCCAAAGAAAATTTCACCTTAAAAACTAACAACATTTCAAAGATTAAATTTGAATATTTCAGATAAATCCTATTCCTTTAGTTTGCCTTTATGGATAAAGTTTATACTTTGTAGCTGAGAAATGGCTGCCTGTTTTATCCTTAAAAAATATATTTTTAGATAGTTAATTAAGCCGAACGTTCCCAATTCTTCTGTTATTTAAATTTCAACAATTCCATAGTAAGTGGAAATTTCCAATCAAATAGCTTTTTAAACAGTTGGGGAAAAAAAGAGTAAAGAAAGTACTGACTATCCGGGTCTGCTACAACAATGCCGCCAATAAAGCTGGCCCCAGTGTTTAATCAAGTGTGAAATCTTTAATCAAGGCGAGACCTCTTCCCCCGCCAGCCATAGCATCTCCATCCATCCGATGTCCCGCTCACGACTGAGTGAATTCCCAGCTGCTGCCGGGTGAGCTGAGACCCAAAATCGCAGCTCCAGTATCGAGATGCCAGAGCCGATGCAACGCAGCTGTCTCGTGGCTTTTCAGTTAGCCTACCTGGCTTGACCTTTTTTCCACTGTTATTATTGGCGGGGATGTGTACCTTTTGGAGCCCTCCCACGCTCGCCACACCTCCCCTCCACCCGCCGGGCCTGTCAATTAAAAAGCCATGGTCTGGCCCAGGCCCAGACCCTGAACTGCGCGACTGTTGCCAGTTGGCGATGAACGGAAAACGGAAAACGATTGCAAGTTGTTTAACTCGTATTTTCACTGGCCACTTTCGAGTGCGAAATTAAGTGAATTAGCTGTAAATGCAATGTTTAAATTATCGGCACAGATATTGGAAGAACTGGAAAAGTAGAATATAAAGTTGGTAAAAGAGTTTTCAAGGGAAATATATACCTAGTTAAAGGAGGTTAAGTAAGCTTTATAAGGAATTTAGTAGATCAAGTATTAAATGTTAATATGTATTTTTGCTAATTGAATAACTACTAATCAAATATTCTGTTAAGTAGTATAATCCTCTTCTCCGATATGTATTAGTTTTCACAATAATATACTAAGGTTAAGCCCCGAATACAAGTCCAGTTAGTAAGCAAATTCTCCCTTTATCTTTACAGTTATGATACCGCAGTGAAGGCTTCGCAGAAGAGGAGGTAAGTGGAAACATGAACGGGTTTGTGGTGCGGTTGAATACCACACATCGGCCCTCTCGCACAACATAGGGGACCCCAGGGAGACATCGGTATCAATCTTAATTTATATCAAATTTAATATGGTTGTTTGGAATCGAACGGTGCGGCAGCTGGAAATGGATGCCTTCGGGAGCAGCAACCCCAAGACCCTCAAAGCCGAGCTACCATCACACACACATATGCTCTGTGCTGAGGTTTCCCATTTCGATTTTCCCCTGACCCTGGCCCCTGAGATATGCAGTGCTGATGGGCCTTCGGCTGCCGGCTGAAAACAGAGCCGTGTTGCACACTTCTGGGGCCTTAAATCCTTGCGTCAACGCACGTAAACATGCCACAAAAAAATATTGAAATGGGCGCCAAGGAGGGTATACCGCAAAACACACTTAAGTGATTTTATGGTGCCATTCAAATGTTTTCCAAATCAGCCGAACGTGAACAGCCGATACTTGGGCTCTTCGCCTGGCTTCCATAAATTTTTTGCGAAACGCCTTGAGGCATTCCACTGCCTCACGTAAGCAAGTGGAAAACGTTTACCGGCAACAAGTAGACACTAGAGTTTACCGCACAGAAGGTTTCCCGGGGCGGAAAACTGCCTGATTTCCTTATCGTACAGCCCTGCCGCCTGTCGACGGCTCTCGTTTTGGTTGAATTCTGAATGGCTGACTGCCTGGGTGCCTTAGTGAGCGATTGAGGGCTTCAGGACCTTGCATTGCTTAACAGTTTACATTAAAGCACGTCCTGCCTCGATAAATTATGCGGAATTGAGAGAATTTAAGTGCTGGGATGGTGATTATATATTATATGTTGAAAATGGAGATGAATTTAGAAGGTTTTGACTTACAAGAATGAAATATAAAATATTTTTTCCATAAGGTAAATCTACTTAATCCCAAATCAAAGGTGAAACCGCCAGCTTGTCACTAATTTCTAAAGCCATCTGCCCTTTTTTTCCTGGCTGGGTCCCACTTTGGATAAGTACTACTTCCATTAGTTCGGATTCTTCAGGAAAAACCCTTTCATTACCGCCAGCAGATAATGTATTTCAAATTGTTTAGATTTCCTTGACTGCGTATACGCAATCTACAGCCTGAGTTTTCCCTCCTTTTTAGCGACAAAGCTTGTGGCAAATATTTACGCTCTCCCTCCAGCGTTAATGTGTAAATAATTGCATGTCACTTGCTGACTGAGCAAACACTCTGGCAAACGCCCAAATACCCACTTCATTGTTTGCCCTTGCGATTTGGGTTTTTTATTCGGTTTTGGCTTCGGATTCAGTTTCGGATTCGGATTCCGGATTTGTATTTGGATTTCAGCTGCCTCTTTCGGAATGGGCGTTGAAGGCTCAACACCTCAACATAATTGGCTGGGGAGCAGCAGATGGCCTGTTATTAACGTAATGCCAAGTACGCTTGTAATTACCCTCCCAAAAGGGGGCCTGCCTAAGAAGGAAAAAACCCCAAGGGTCAAATTAAAACAAAAAGTAAATATACCAAACATGGAACACGAAAAAACCGTGTTATTTTTTTTTGTTAATTATGTCACATCGTGTTATCAAAAAATGAAGCAGAAAATCAATGCGCAGCCCGAGGACAGCGAAGCGAAAAAAAAAAACATTGGAAAATTATTCGCTGACAGATACTCAGCGAGGATTGGTCTGACGACAGCTTGTTGACAATTGCGTCTTAAATTATGCAATCCATTAAAAAGGAATAAACTGTGTGAATAAAAAATACCAGCACCACCAACGTCCTTTCCAGTCAGAGGTTTTATTAATTAAAACTTGGTTACGAGTTAAGAGCAGCCAAGAGGGGACGGATGTTGGCCAGAAAGTGGTTGTGCGGTTACTTTTAGCACCAGGGCAGGTCAGATGGGGGAAACATTGCACTAAAAAAGGTTGTAAATTCTTAAATTATTTGCTGGCAATGAGGTAAAATTCTAAAAGAAGTTAATTGCTGAACAGATGTGAATATTTAATTAATTTGGTTGAGTGAATATATTCATAGCTTTATGTTATGTAAGCTTTAGGCAAATTTGTATCTGCTTTTGACCAGCTAAATCCGAATTCAATAGGCTCGCCTCTATATTCTTAATATTTAGAATTCCTAAGAGCATTATTAGGGTCTTATGAAGTCAAATATTCACCAGAAAAGTCTTTTATTATACAAATATTTTACAATAAAATTTCTTTAGTTCAAACGCCGATGGATAGCATTGACTTCAATTCATTTGATTTGTTTGCTTGTTGTGTGCGTTATTATTACATAAAGAACTGAAGCGAACAAATAAGATCCCCAACTTCTGTCAAGTTCAAGGTTCTTCTGGTGGCTCGAAGCTGGGATTGGAGGTGGGATTCATCTGTGGCCAGAAAGTCGCGCCATCAAGTCTGCATACGCCAGTTTGTCGCCCTACGGTACGTGTCTGTTGTTGGTTTTGCGCCTCATAAATCACAAAATAAATTTTGCGCGTGCAAAATGTATAAAACGGAAGCGGGACCTACGGCAGGCAGAGTGCAATAAAAACTTTTTGATTTTTGGATCTTTTTATTTGCTTGCGCGCGGGTGAGCAAACTGAATCGTTTCGGAGGTAGAGACAGAGAGAGAGGGAGAGGCACAACGGAAACGGAAGTGCGTAATGCCATACGTGATGGCCGAGCTGGTCTGCGGTTTGTCCATGGCAAGGTGCAAGCAATTTTTATGATTAATTGCAGAAACGAAACCCAACATGAGTCAGGCGGCAGAGAGGGTTCGGGGTCTGGCCTGTGTTCTTTTGTTGGCAAATGAAACAATAGCCACATTTATACTAAAAATAAAACCAAGCAGCCATAAAAATGTGATAAAGAAAGGGCTTTTTTGGGTAAGCGTTGGGTCATTCTCTGCCCCCGTTGAGGGAAAGTCGTAAATACCGATTACGACGCTTAGGCGCCACTTCAGCAATCTGCTTTTTGTACTCTCATATGCAGAACTTGGCACTCTTAAAGGTTTATGTATTTGTTTTGTTGCTTTCATGCGAATTTTAGTATGAAATCTTTAGAAAAACCCTTTATACCTTAATATATTATGCATAATATATCAAAACTATATTTGGAATCCAGCAGGATTTATCTTCATTGCGATTTTTGTGACTTAATTGAAATAAATTAGAGCCCTGAAAACGCCTAGTTAATTGGGGATCTGGCCAAGGCTGACGTAAATGGTTTTGGGGGAGGTCCCAGTCTCCTCTATAAATCCCAAGTGGGGCTGGGCAAATGTGAAAGCAGCTGTTGGCCAAATGTGCGAAAATGACTGGCCAATTGCTGGCGAAAATGACTCGGCCAGACCACGGCCATGGTTGGGCTGATTTGCATACGAGAGCTGGGGGCCTCTCGGCTGCAGTTCCTCAATCGTGGCAGCCGCTCTCCGTCTGGCTGCTAGTCTGTCAGTAAGTCAGCAAGTCAGCGAGCCAGTCAGTCAGCAAGTCAATCTACCTCGTCACCCAAGACCTCAGCCTGGAAGGCAGCCACTTGCAACGTTCTCTTAGGTTCTGCTGCTGCATCCGCTGGCTACCTAGGGCAATTTGGCTGCGGAGTAACTGTACAAGATAATGCCGCAGTTTCATTATGCAAATCGACGACCCTTCGGGTTCGCCTTCCCTGCATTTTGTCTGGTGGTTTAACTGGACCAACTGCACGGCTTAAAGCCATCTCAATTGCCTGACACGACTATCTTCTCGGCAGAGGGAGAGAGAGATGACGGACAGGCAGATGGCTTGATGTCACAGGAAAGTAGATTTAATATTGGCTCCAGCCTTAATGTCGTCCATTTTGAGGTAGCTTCTACATGGAATCAGAGCCTTTTTAGCAGGGAAATTCAGGAAACTTCAGCTGACAGCAAAGGCAGCGGATAAAGTTTACTTTACAAAGGACTTTCTGCCTCAGGCCCCGTTAGAAAAAAAATTTTCCTTCATTACTTTCCCTGTGAGGCAACTCAAGGAAGCGGCCCTAAATAAAGAAATTAAGGAAAGAAAATATAAGAAAACATCATCATAAGAAAACTAAAAATGTATAAGGGGCGAGCAAAGTATTACGCAAAATTATAATTAAGCTGTAATAATAAACATGCAGTATGAACTTTGGAAAATCTTGAATATATATTTAAAGGCAAAATATTATTTTCTACTTGAGGCAACTGGGTTTGGGTTTCTTTTTTGATTATCTAATTTCTCATTTTAATTCAGGGTACAAAATTGATTTTGTTTTGCTTTAGATTATTTTCTTATTTCTCAATACATTTTAGAATGAGTTTTATAGGGTATTCAAGTGGTCCTTTCGTTTGTCTGATCATCCTCTTTCGGGGTTTTTAATTATGCTCTGGCAGCGTGAAAAAGTTTCTCAAGTGTTTTCACTTCTCTCGCCCTCTGTTTTCCGGAGGGTTCCGGCAATTAACGCCACGTTTCGAGTGGCGGATGTTTTGTCCTGTTGCCGAGTTCTGGGTCGCGGCCTTGGCCCCGCCATGCTCACTTATTAATTTCGCCAATTTAGTGACGGAAGTGGCGGGCGTCGGAAACAAATGAAATTTCATATTTCTTTGCCGCAGCCTCTCCAGAGAAGCGTTGGCTTCAGCTTTTCCCACAGTCCCAGAGATACACACGCACCCACAGATGCCAAAACTGCCACCGCAGCACAGCATTTTCCACGGCGGCAGCCACTTCGGCGACTTTTCTTCCCACAGTCAACAGTCCGCAGTCGTCTACACACAGTCATCGTGGCCGCCAAAAAATATCTGCCACAGGAAGCCATCGGGACTGGGGACTGTGGCTAAAGCTGAAGCTGGAGCTGGAGCTGGAGCTGAAACGGGCAGCATTAACGAGTTGGGACAGCGCCAGTTGATGGTCGTTTTTACTGTTGCGAAGTCTGCGGCGGCGGCGACGGCGACGGCGGATTGCGGCAAATGCAAATTGACAAAGCAAAATGCTTTCCATTTGTT